CTTACTCGTGAGCTTAATAGTATGTTTATTGAAAGAAAAACTCAAAAAACTCTTGATGATTATGTAAAACCTATTTAGTTATCATTTTATTAATAAATTTGACTTTATTTGTAATATGATTTATATTATGACACCCCGTTATTATGACCATTATATTCGTTGAAAATTGTTGAAAAAAATTTGGAAGTCTTAGCAGTTCGGGCAATTGCCAGAAATCAAGGTGTTAGTGAGTTGAATTCTTAAACAATTTCAAATCTAACTTGAGTTATATTTTTTTAATTCTATTAACGTATTCTTAATCATATCGAACTTTTTTGTGTAGATCTGTTGGTTGGCAAGAACAATCTTTGCCATAAATTTTCGTACAGATTAAACACACCAAACCTATTGGACATGCATTCAAGCGAAAACTAATATTGAATGTGTTGACATTGTAGAACTGTCCAGAATACTATCGCTATGTATTAAAAAATATATTTATCATTTTATTTTACTAATCATGCCCCAATCAAAAGTTTACCACCGCTGTCCCAGTTAGAATGAAAACAGCTGTAATCATAATTGATGATGGATCATTGTGATTTGGTAAACCGTTGCCGAATGCGGTTTGCCGCTAACCGATCGGAAAACTATGTCGAAAACTATACGAAGATGTCGGTTCGAATTATTACCGAAAAATTCGGTTTATCGGCCGATCGGTAACGGTAATTACGAACCGTTCGGATCCCTACATGTATTATATGTCCCGAGTATAATATCGATAAATATAAATCGGTGATTTTGTTGAAAGTTAAACATTTATTACGATTGAATGGCAAAATCAACATTTTATTCTAAGACTCACGCACACTAACGTTAAATATTTACATTGAATCATGCTTTAATTAAAAAAAGACACATGACTAACTATATTAAGCGGTTATAAAAAATTTATTTGAGCTCTATATTATTTGCGATACCTAAAGATTAAATCACAATGCTTTTTCTATCTGAGGAATAATATGAACTTTATAAGCCTGTTAAATTAAATGTAATCTATTCTCTGTTTAATGATTTCTTTGACAGACGAGAGGTTCGATATTAAAAGCTAAATACAATTCCTCAAATTAAGAATATTTATGATGATTAATTTATTTATTTATTTTCTATCTGCTATCTCTTAAATGAGACATGATATGTATGTGTATTTTAAACAATAAGAACCGGTTTTATTATCTTATTGTCATAAATGAGTAGCTCTTAACGGATAAGTAATTTTCTAATTCACTTTAATTGATCTTCAAAGTTGGCATACCATCCCAACAATGGAAACAAAAAGAAGGTTTATATTATTCCTTTCATTGATGACATAATTGATCGTGACATTAAACTTTAATTTAGTTTAGACTGGAAGGCGGATGGGAATAACTGTTATTTTAAAAACAGGAATAATTTTGGGAAGTTATCGTTATTATTTCTGTATCGCAAAAAAAAAACAATATCTATTATTATATTGCGAAAATAGAACAAAAGACCTTTATCAATATGAAAGAAAAGGTTAACTGAAATAAGTAAACAGAGAGAGTCTATGGAGTTTCAAAAGATACACGTTTCAAGCAATTGATTGAAGGAGTGATTACGGCGTAACGTCACTAATTTTGAATTAATATTAACCTTTAATTATGCGCGCGAAACCCCCTGCAGCACTTTTTATTCGACTTTTATCCAATTAATTATAAATAATACATGTATATGTAAGATTACACACGGAATCCTCCCAATTAAGACACATGTTCCTAATAAGAAATTACGTAAAACAATCAACTCACCACGTTGTTTTGTAGATCTGATGTCAAAAATAATTATTCGTTGTACTTAATAAAAATTGATATGTTATACCAAGACATTAATTTATTATACGTATATAGTATATGCTTTTTTCTATCGCTATCGGATAAAAAGATGATCATAGATCTCGAAAATAGATACAATGATTAACTGTCAACGAATATGTAACAGATGAAATCATATGGTGTTAACGTTAATTCAATTTGCTTGCAATCTTTCATATTATTGAATAAAATAATCATGAGTTTTCACGTGAATAATAGACAATTCTCAAGATAATTTTAAATTTAATTGTAGTTCAATAATAATATATTATGAACTTTTAATGCTTGTCAAAATAGTTCGAAAGACATAAAAAGTGCATATCAAAAAATAGTTCGAAAGACATAAATAGCACAAAAGGTATACTATAAGTGTACATCTAAGTAATATTGCATGATAATTTTATTAATTTAATAATTTAAAAATTGACTTGTAAACTTACCAAAGTTGGGGAGATTATTACATGTGTTTGATTTCGAATATTGCATTTTAAATTCAAAAACACAAAAAAAATGTCTATTCGATCTAAGAACCATATGAATCTATAGGTAAAGACTCGGTTACATTTGGTCCGAATTCAAGTCATTAGAAATTACTTGGTGAAAAAAAGCTCAAAGACCAATCATTCACAGCTGTCTCGATCAACATTGCTTGAAATATATATATAGTACCTGAATCAAACATCGAGAAGAAAATTCTCAACATGGAAAAAATCAATTTATTTTCCTAATGGGAGGCAAATCTGATGTATAATTCAACGCCACTTTACTTTCTTTAATAAACTTAGGCGTCATGATAAACTTTGAATTGGAAAAAGGCCAAAGTTTTTCTTGTGTTATATATCAAGGCTTCTCCCTCTCAAACAAGAATAAATATTTTATGGATCGCATCTTTTCACAGAAAAGCGATTTATCGATTAACTTTATTCCCTCGGATAAATTAATAATTACAAAACTTAAAGCCGTTTCTCTAAAGTTCAAATGCCTTATCTACAAGAACAATCTGTGTCTCCAAAGCTCAAATGGCTTATTTACAAGAACAATCTGCGTCTCTAAAGTTCAAATGGATTAACTATAAGTCAATTTTCGTAATACTACAACTCGCTTTTATTATAAATTCAAATTAGATCGTATACTTAACTTATTTATCGTCACTTATTTTTTTTTTAATTTCTAATTACACATATATTTTCATTACTTTATTTTTCATTTTTTATTATTTTATTATTTCATTATTTTTATCACCACTGTGATGGGTAACATGTAATAATTTTTTATTCTATGTTCATCCGAAATAAGCTTCTTTCGAAAACATATCGACATAATATAGCGCGCACAAGATCATAAGAGATACACAAAGTCATAACACAGAGAGAGAACAAAGAAAAAGCATACAATGTCAATAACACACTTTTATTGGTATTTTGCATTATAACTAGAAAATCATATCTTACGTACAGAGTTGTATAAAAACAAGCAAAAATACATGGAAAAGCATTTAATTTTCTAATAAAGATTCAAGAGGTTACTTTAACATTTCTCAAAAAATTTTGGAAATATTAAGAGATTAATGATCCTTTCAATCAATCCTATGATCATGTCACCATGTAATAAACAAAAAAGTACTTCATTTTAAATACCTCCAAAGAAATTTTATTTATCAAGTTCTAGAAGCAATTTGCAACTTTTGTTCTCATTTAATTGTAAGACAAACGTGAATGTCGAAGCAAAGCTCTCTCACAATGTGAATTTGATTTAAATTCGAATACATGCAGATGAATTTGATTTTGCTTTAAAGAAAAACTATTGGTTATCTCATAAATTTTCTACAAAGTACAAAGATAAATAAAAACAATTCCTGAAACTAAATTTTAAATTCTCTTGCACCTTTTATCGACTGTTCTGGAACCATTAAATGCAACTTCATTAAAAATAAATTGACAACAAGCGAACTGAAATTTGTGTCGATATGATACCTTTTTTAAGTCTACACATCTCCCTTCTCTTGTTATCTAATCGAGACACTCGTAATGATATGGGTTATCCTATCACTTTTCAATAACTATCTTATATACGTAAGTTGCGTATGGTTTAGATACTTTTATTTAAAACTTCAACAAATAATTTTTATTACATAAACTTCCAGGTGCAACTTGAATTAATATATGCTGATCGGAATGCATGATTATATAACGGCAATATTATAAACTCACGAAAAACGAAAGTGCATCGTTTAAGTTAATATATATTAAGTTCATATTAATACAATACTAACCATCGATTTATTATTAGAGCAATTCCCATTGTTTAACAAATGAATCTAGATGATCGCGAGTTGTAATTTCCAAAACTGTTGTTCCCTTTATGTTGCTTTGAACAACAGAGGGAAGAATCCTACCGAACTCACTAGACGATAGATTTTTTTCTGAATTTGCGACGATTTATCCCGTTTCTATCTGTTCTTCAAAAATCTTGTCATTCTCAACACGTAGACCAAGCTGAATTTCGTTAAAACGAACTGGTTCACTGTAAGTTTCGTGAATAGCTGTTTTTGAAATTCCATAAAGATAATTTGTTGCAATGCCAGTCATTATCATAAGTCTAAGTGTTTTTGCAAACGAAAATGCTTAATGATTAGGAATCAATTGCAAATACGTGTAGTGTTTTTATGTTACCCCAGAATGCCCGGAAATACCAGTCATTGAAGTATAAATGATGTTTTTTGTTGAGGAGAAAAGGCACAAAGTTCCTGTAAATTACTATTAAAAGTGATAATTTTGTAGAACTT